GAGGGCAAGATGGCGGGGAGCGATCGGGGCAGGGACGGCTCGATAGTAACTGAGGCGCCTCAGATGCTTCACGACCTGAATGCCTCAGTGAAGACTCCAGCCGTCGACAGAACTGAGAACACTGAGATCCTCGAAGAGACTGAGCTGGAGGAAGAGAACCACGCGAGCCTGCTGGCCGGGGCGAGGGCGGAGAGTGAGCGCACCGGCGATAAGCTCGACCCAATCCTCGGCCGGCCGGTGGATGCGCCTCGCGAGCCGACTGGCCACTTCACTCCTTTGCGGCGCCTGATGCCACCGGCACCCGAGTGGGCACTAGAGACCGTACTGACAGGTGTACTCTCGGCTGTGTGTTTTGTAGGGGGTGGCCAGTAGTCAGTTTCGGTGGTGCGCTCTCTGACCGGTGTGGCGGTGTAAAATCACGTTGGCTGTTGCGGTCTCCCCGTCGGACTCCACACCACTGACCAGAGTACAGACACAGACTAATTTTAGCCCGCGTCCCCACGGGTCTGTTGTATACTAGAAATGGGGTTGCTAGAACTATATTCACCCATGCTTCACTTCACCAAGCTTTCACAGATCCCCGCGAGCTGTCGCAGCTCAAGCGCTCGCTGCCTCGCCGGCCCTTCCAGCGCAGCATCGCTGAGCCGGCAAAAGTGAAGTGGTGCGCACGTGACGCGAATGATCGACATCAGCCAGCACGGAAAATGGTACAGCTCGAGGGCCATGCCTTTGATGTGGAAGCTCCAAAGAAAGTGGGTCGAGCATTGGCTCATCACGAATGACCAGACGTTGAGAACGAGTACGGGAACGGGGCTGCCGGCCCAGAGTAAGAGGCGGTTCAAGACGAGGACAGTCAGAGGGAAGACGCCACCATAGGCGAACAGATGGAATGTGACCCCTATTATTGGCATCAGCGCCTCATAGTAGCGGGTTGACGCCTGCCAGCCTGACGAGACGACAAACATGGCGCTGTTGATGCAGATGGTAGTGACCAATGCCAGGTTGACAAAAACGAATCCAGCGAGGGCGTCCATCCACCCTTCTTCTATCGTTTCATCCGCCTGGCCGGTCTGAGCCGCATCACGTTCGGTAAATTCGAGGATTGCGATCGGCACCGTGAGGAGAAGGCCGCTCACAACCCCAGTGAGCTCAAACGTCTTGAGCATGAGACCCTGTCGCTCAGCCGGCTTTACCAGCAGCAGCGAGAGGAAGGGGGCTGCTATCGACCGCAACCGCTTAGGCGGCGTGCCGTCTGCAGCCGGCAGCAGTAGGAAGTGCCGCAGCAGCTCGGACATCGGCACTCCCTGATCGATCGTCGCCTTTAGCAGCTCGGCCTTGACGGCAATCTTCAGGCCAATGGGTGCGGCAAACGCTTGCCAGTCCTCAGGGTCAGCGAGCTGTAGCTGCCACGCCGCCTGCACTCCGTGCTGCGCCAGCGCCTCCAGGAGCGGAGCCTTTGCGCCCTGGAGACCGGAAGCGGCAGCGGCAGCCTCGACGATCGTCTCGACGGGTCGCACGTCGTGCTCAGTAGGCAGCCCCTGGAGCTGGAGCTCCGACAGGCCGCGCGTGAGCACGGCGCCGCTCGACGGGCTCACGCGCGGCGGCATATGTTTGTGTGTGTGGTCCGCATAAATGCATGCGTTCGTTACATCAGAAAGAAAGAATTTTTACCAGAAAGAAAGAATGTTCAAAGCCGAAAGCAGTGTGCGGCGTTCGTTACATTGTAAGCTGATAAATATCACAGGGATTTTTTAGCGCGCCTGCGGCGGCTTCTCAGGTCTCGAGAGAGAGGCCGCCGCGCGGCCCTCTGTCTCGAGAAAACAGCGGCCACCTTGCTCTCTTTCTTGGATGATTGCGCGCGTCCGTCCTATCATCCTCTCCCGCGTCCACGCACACCGAGATGCCCTCGCCCACGCACAACAGATCCCTTTACATTAACCTGGCCGACGAGAGGATCTATCGGTCGGCCTTCAACCTCACGCGACCGCTCCTGCTCCAGAGAATGCGTTACGTTGAGCACATGCTGGCTTTCCTGCAGCACGCGGAGCTGAAGACCTTCCCGCTGATGGAGCAGGTGCTGCGTGTGAGCTGCGCCCAGGAGGGCAGCTTTGTAAAGACCTTCCCGCTGATGGA